CTAGTCTACTGAAAGTCGGAGACTGATACTTCTTGAACCTCTCAAGCCTCTTCTGCTCCTCCTCTGAAGCTATTCCCTCTCATCGGGCTGAGCTGGGGCTACCGGCTATACAGGAATAGCCTCTAGAACCTAATCAATATGCACTCGCTGCTCAGGAGTGCGGGCGGCGGGAGTTTGTGCTCCTCCCCCGGCCTGGGATGTAGCTGCAGCAAGGGGAAGCAACCCTGCCTGAGCTAGAGTGGTGTTTATAGTCATGAACTGTGCTAAGGTCTCATGGAGTGGTGGAGTAGTAGTGGCAGAAGCATCAGGTGTCTTGACTCCGGCTGGTACTACTGGTGGTACCTCGGCGGCAGCTCTCACGGGTGCTCTGGTTGCACCACGAGCGTGTCCTCGGCCTCTACCCCGGCCCCGGCCTCTGACAGCTCCAGTAGGGGGCATGGGTGCCTGGTCATCTCGAGTAGCACGTGTCCTCACCATCTGTGAGAGAATAGAAGACAGAAGTTTAGAATTGTGATATCAAAAATCTCGCACAACAAGGAAATCAAATGAAGTGGAATTTTTCCGAACAGTTACATAGCCTCTCGTAGATAAGTACAGACGTCTCCATACCGATCAGCGAGACTCTAATAAACTGACTTGTGATTCATGACTCCTATGAACCTAGAGCTCTGATACCAACTTGTCACGACCCCGGTTCGCCCTCCGTGAACCATCGTGACGGCACCTATTCTCTACGACTAGGTAAGCCTAACTTGCGAAAGAAAAACCAAAATTTGCGAAAGTAAAACAATTTCAAACAAGAACAAAGGAATAAACAGCGTTTAAATGTGCCGATCGGCATACACTATATTAAATTCTCAAAAACAACACATAAATCCAAGACCCGGAAACCCATGAATCACAAGCTAAGAAGTACTACATAGCTCTAACTCCAGAATGTCTAATAAGAACTGAAATACAGAAGGGCTAATACTAAACAGCAAAAATAGAAAGAGACTCATCGGTGTGCGGACGCGGCAGATATACCTCGAAGTCGCTATAGCAGTCGTCTCGCCTCAGGGGTGGTAGGACTGAGTCGAAGTACCTAGATCTGCACATGAAAAACATGCGCAGGAAGGGCATGAGTACACCACAGCGGTACTCAGTAAGTGCCAAGCCTAACCTCGGTTGGGTAGTGACGAGGAAGGTCAGGGCCCTACTGAGATTAAATAGAACTTAAAAATTCAACAGTGTAGATAAGAACAGTATAATTAAGTGCAGCAGTGAAAGTATCACAGGATATAAAGGTAACTACGACTAATACAGAGGCAAAAACAATCACAAGGATGATAACCGGGGATCTCTAAGTATCCCGAGGATCTCTTGGTATCCTCAATATATGCCAGGGATCTCTTGGTATCCCGAGGATCTCTTAGTATCCTCTATAGATATGTGCCAGGGATCTCTCGCTATCCCGTACCTCAGCTCGATCATCAATAAGTACAGGGGTCTCCCGGGATGCCTTCCCGTAGCCCCAAAATAAAACACACAACAATAGCAAAAAAGAAATACTCAATTAAGCTCAACATCGTACCAAGGCAAAATAGATAATTCTAACCTAGCATACTTCACGTAATACAAATAAGGCATTTAAGGCAAGTAGAGCAATTTAGTCAATTAGACATGCTTCTCTAAACTAACAGCGGGCTAAATTTCCAAGTAGTGTAAGCAAGAAAAAGGAAGAACACAATTCAAGGCTATTTTTAATGAAAAACCGGATTTTCAACAATTAGCACAAGTACGCGCTCGTCACCTCACGTACAAGGCATTTCAATTATCACAATATCAATCCTAAGGGGAAAGGTCCCCCACACAAGGTTAGACAAGCCACTTACCTCGAACCGGCTCAAATGTCAACCCAAAACCACGTTCTTGCCACGAGTATCCGACTCCAAATGGCCCAAATCTATTCAATTAAATTCCATAATGTCAATAACACTTCAGGTAAATGATTCTATAATTAAATTCTAAGCAAATACACAAAATTAGGTAAAATGACCAAAATGCCCCTCGGGCCCACGTCTCGGAATTGAGTGAAATTTATATTTTCAGAATCCTCACACTCTCACGAGTCTAACCATACAAAAATTATCCTAATCTGATGTCAAATCCCCAATCAAAACTCAACTTCTAGGTCTAAGAACTTTTCCCCCAATTTCCACCAAAATTTCGAAATTAAAGGATGAATTTAAGTGTAGATTCATGGCAATTAGTCTAAACCGAGTAGGAATCACTTACCCAAATCGCCCAGGTGAAAATCTCTTCAAAAATCGCAATCCCCCGAGCTCCCAAGTCCAAAAATATGAATTATGGTCCAAACCCTCGATTTTGGGTTTTAAATTCTGCCCAGGTGTTTTGTTCATCGCGACCGCAAAAGATGACTTGCGATCGCGAAGAGTAAAAATTGATGGCTCCTGAACTGGGCTACGTGAACGCGAGATGGGGCACGCGAACGCGAAGAAGGAAAGGGCAGGCTTACGCGTTCGCGGACAAACCAGCGCGAGCGCGAAGGGAAAAAGGTCACTGAACCACCGACTCCTAGTTCTACTATGCGAACGCGAAGAAGGAAGGGGCAGACTACCGCGATCGCGAGCCAAATCATGCGATCGCGAAGAAAAAATTAAACCTCCTCCGAAAATACACTCCGCGAACGCGGAGGTAAGGCCGCGAACGCGATTAAGGAAACCAGATACCAGATTTTCTGCAGTTCTAACAAGTTCCAAAATGACCCGTTGAGCATCCGAAACACCCCCGAGGCCCCCGGGACCTCAACCAAACCTGCCAACCAATCCTAAAGCATCATCTCAAACTTGTTCCAACCTTCAGAACGCCCAAAATAACATCAGAACACCTATTTTTTCATCGGATTCAAGCTTAAGAATTCCAAAAGCTCTAAAAACATGTTTTTGATCAAAAATCCAACCGAACCACATCCGAATGACCTGAAATGTTGCACACACATCCCAAATGACATAATGGAACTACTGTAACTCTCGGAATTCCATTCCGACCCTCGGATCTAAATCTCACTATCGAACCGGAAACTTCAAAAATTCAACTTTCTGCATTTCAAGCCTAAATTAGCTACGAACCTTCAAAACACAATACGAACACGCCCCTAAGCCTGAAATCACCCAACGGAGCTAACGGAACCATCAAATTTCCAGTCTGAGGCCATCTTCACACTGTTCCGACTATGGTCAAATTCCAAGACTTAAGCCCTTATTTAGGGACTAAGTGTCCTAAAACTCTCCGGAACTCAAAATCGAACGTCCCGGCAAATCAAAATAGTAGAAATAAACTTGGGGAAAGCAATTAATAGGGGATCGGGGCGTAAATTCTAAAAACGACCGGCCGGATCGTTACACCTACCCAGGCCTAGTTCGCATTTGTGACACTATTGTCGCATTTCCCAGGCCTGCTCACTTCGCAATTGCGAAGCCTGATCTTGTTTGCGAGATCAGAGGCCTGTGCAAAAACCAGATGCATCAGCTGAGTTTTTGCTAAGTTCTAATAACTTTGTGGCCCATCCAAAACACACTCGAGCCCTCGGGGCTCCAAACCAAACATGCTCGCAAGTCTAAAAATATTATACGGACTTGCTCGTGCGATCAAATCATCAAAATAACATCAACAACTACGAATTTAGCACCAAAATTCAAGAAATTCTTAAGAACATTGAAATTTCCATTTTCTCAACTATGGGTCCGACTTATACCAAATCAACTTCGATTCTAACCAAATTTCACAGATTCGACTTAATCATTATTTTAAACCTGTACCGGGCTTCGAAACTGAAATACGGGCCCGATACTATCAAGATTACATGCACTTTCATTTCTAAAAATGCTTATATTTTCCAGCAAATAATTTCCTTTAAAAATTCTTTTCTCGAGCTAGGACCTCGGAATTCGATTCCTGACATACACCCAAGTCCCATATTTTACTACGGGCCCTACGAAACCGTCGAAACACGGGTCTGGGTCCGTTTACCCAAAATATTGACCGAAGTCAACTTAATTCCATTTTAAAGGCAAAATTTATCATTTTTCTCAAATTTTCACATAAAGGCTTTCCAGATATAAGTCCGGACTGTTCACGCAAATCGAGAAAAGACAAAAGGAGGTTTTTAAGGCCTCGGAACACGAATTTGACTTCTTAAATAAGAGATAACCTTTTGGCTCATCGCAGCCTAGAACTCTTTTGGAACTTCTACGGGGGTAGATTATCAGAAGACTGATAAGTACTCACACAAGATTATGGTATGCCATCCCGGCAACTATTTGGTGGATTACCTGGCAAGAGAGAAATGCCAGAATTTTAGAAGACAAACAAGAAAATATACTTAGTCTTAAGTTCATTTGCATACTTTTGCTATCTTCTTGGACAACATGGCAAATGCAAATGTTATTCATTTTTAACTCCTTATATACTCTGTTATAAATAATAGAAGCTTGTAATTTGTTCAATATTCCAACATAGCCTTGTTGCTAGTCATTCATGTATAAAATACTTGTCAAAAGAGAATGAATCCATCCATATCAACTAACAAAAGAAAATACCATTCGGCCTAACTTTTTTCCTATTATCGGAGTAGCTTCTAGACTTCTGATGTTCCACAATCAAACCATTTTTCTTTTACCCTTTTGTGAATTCAAATTAAGAACTGATATAAGACTAAATGCACAACTCCAAGCATCGCACGTGATTCTTCATTCATCTGCTATACTATAACCTCACCCACAAAACCATCTCTCAATCACGAAAAGTTTCCACCTAACTGGCTAACCCTTCAACCAATACATTCAATCATGCACGTAGAAAGCACAGAAACACATAGCACACACAAAACATTGATAAACAATAGAGAAAAAAGAGCACACACTAAATCAAAAGTTATGTCACGACCCTAAATCCCAACCCGGTCGTGATGGCGCCTCTCGTGAAGACAAGGCCAGCCAACTAAACCCAATTTACCTTTTTAAGCAGTTAAACAACATAAAACAGTCTAAAACATGATTTAACAGTATTAAGTAGCGAATAATGTCAATGAAGTGCGGAAACATAACCCAACACAGCCCTAAGTGGGGTGTCACAACTCACGAGCATCTAACAGTACCAAATCCTCAAAGGTAACTACAGAGTTTGAATTACTGAACTAAGACTGTAAAAAAAATAGATAGAGAGGAGCTCCAGGCTACGAAACGACAACAGCTACCTAAAGACTCCTCGAAGATCCACCTGAAGCTGGAATGAATCAGCACTCGGGAGCAGGACCAGCTACGCTTGAATCTGCACACAGGGTGCAGGGAGTAAAGTGAGTACTCCAACTCAGTGAGTAACAAATGTAAATAATGACTGAAAGTAAGAAAACATGTAAGGCACAAAGCAATCTGTAATGAAGCAGTAAAGATCATTTAAAAACAGTAAACCAATGAAAAGATAGGTAAAATCCTTTTTCAACGAGTAAACAGGTAATTGACAGACAATTAAGGTATAGTAAATAAATAGAAGCTCGCCCCTCGGGCACAGTATCACCACATCCGCCCCTCGGACAACATCTCAAAACAATAACAGCCCCTCGGGCTCCATCTCACATCACACTGGGTACCCGCGCTCACTAGGGGTGTGCAGACCCTGGAGGGGCCCCTTACGGCCCAAGGGCAATAACAAGCCATATCGTGGCATCAAATCTAGGCCCTCGGCCTCATATCACTCAAGCCACCTCGTGACGTACATATCTCGGGCCCTCGGCCTCACATCAGTATCAGTATCTCCTCACAACATAGGCCCTCGGCCTTACTCAGTCAAAAATACTCACAAGCCCCTCGGGCAATAGTAAAACAGTGTTTCTTAGCCCAAAACATCATTTGAAATATCATTTAAGTCTCAAAATCGAGTAAAAATTCCTGAGTAGTAAAACAGTGTAAATTAACCTGACTGATTTCAAATAGTAAGTCAAAACAGTGAGGAAATATCAAATAAAAGCCCCGAAGGGTTCAAGTAGTTGGCACGAAGCCCAAATGTGGCATTCAGCCTGAATCATAGTGATAGCAAATACGTTTAAGTCAAATACACGGTAAAAATCATCAACCGGGACAGACCAAGTCACAATCCCCAATAGTGTACGACCCCACGCTCGTCAACAAGCGTGTGTCTCACATCAACATAACACTACGATGTGCAATCCGGGGTTTCAAACCCTCAGGACATCATTTACAATTATTTTCACCTCGAACTGGCTAAGTATCTAGCTCGCGACGCCTTTGCCTCTCGAATCGGCCTCCACGTGCGTCGAACCTATCCAAAATTAGAGCGAGGACGTAAAACAATATCAAAGCCCGAGCGAAAACAATCAATAAAGGGCACAAATCCCGAAATTAGCAAAACTCGAGCGCCGAGCCCACTTCTCGAAGCTCAGAAATTTTCACACCAACGGATTCCTTATCTCCCCCACGAGTTCATACATATCAAGAATACCAAAATCGGAGTCCAAATGACCCCTCAAATTCTCATTTAAAGGCCTCTTAAACTCAAGCCCTAATCCTCAATTTTTAGCCCTTTAATCCTTTTAATTACAGCCTTAATCCAAGAAATACTACCATAGAAATGTGTTTTTGGTCCAAAAATCCTTACCTTAACGAAGTCTCTTGATTTCTCTCTTCAGAATCGCCCAAAAAGCTCCAAGGTCAAAGTCAAAAATGGTTAAATAACCCAAACTCGCGAAATGAAATAACATACATGTCTGCCCAAGCCTTTCCGCATCTGCGGTCCAATGCCCCGCTTCTGCGGTACCGCATTTGCGGCCAAACCACCGCTTCTGCGGTTTTTCACTTAAGGCCCAAAATCGCATCTGCGATACCGCAGATGCGGCCATCTTGACCGCTTCTTTAGAAACTGCTCGCCAGCCCCAATTTCGCATCTGCGGCTTCCTCCCTCGCACCTGCGGCATCGCACCTGCGGTCCCAATTCCGCAGGTGCGGAAATACCAGAAGCAGAAAATCTGCAGCTTTCACAAACATCCAACTTCTCCGTTAACCACCCGAAATCACCCCGAGGCCCCCCGGGACCTCAACCAAAAGCACCAACACATCCTAAAATATTATTCAAACTTGTTCCAATCATCAAAACACTTCAAACAACATCAATTCAACCAAAACACATCAGATTCAAGCCTAAGCTTCTAAAAATCTTCCAAATTCCGCTTTTGATCAAAAACCCAACAAAACCACGTCCGAATAACCTGAAATTTTGCATACACATCCCAAATCACAGAACGAAGCTACTGCAACTCTCGGAATTCCACTCCGACCCCTATATCAAAATCTCGCCTACCAACCGGAAATCGCCAAAATATCAACTTTGCCAATTCAAGCCTAAATCTACTCCGGACCTCCAAAACGCATTCCGTTCACACTCCTAAGTCATAAATCACCTCCCGAAGCTCCCCGAACTATCGGAACTCACATCCGAGCCCTCTAACACATAAGTCAACATCCGGTTGACTTTTCCAACTTAAGCCTTCCTAAAAGAGACTAAGTGTCTCAAACTTCACCAAAACCAATCTGAATCCAGTCCGACCAACCCGATACCTCAAAACACGGATAACAAGGCATGAAGAAGCAAAAATGGGGGAAACAGAGCGGTAACTCATGAGACAACCGTCCGGGTCGTCACATTCTCCCCAACTTAAATAAACGTTCGTCCTCGAACGAGTCAAGAAACATACCTGAAGCCTCAAACAGGTGAGGATATCTGCTCTGCATCTTCCGCTCGGTCTCCCAGGTAGCCTCCTCCACGGGCCGAACTCTCTACTACACCTTCACCGAAGCTATATCTTTTGATCTCAACTTCCGAACCTGACGCTCCAAAATAGCTGCTGGCTCCACATCATATGTCAAATCACCCTCCAACTGAACCGTGCTGAAATCCAGAACATGAGACAGATCTCCAATGTACTTCTGGAGCATAGAAACATGGAACACTGGGTGCACACTCGACAAGCTGGGTGGCAAAGCAAGCTTATAAGCCACCTCCCCAATCCTCTGAAGTACCTCAAAAGGCCTAATGAACCGCGGACTCAACTTCCCTTTCTTTCCAAATCTCATAACACCTTTTGTGGGCGAGACCTTCAACAGAACCTTCTCACCGACCATGTAGGACACATCTCGAACCTTCCAGTCAGCATAACTCTGTTGCCTTGACTGCGATGTACGAAGTCTCTCCTGAATTACGTTCACTTTATCTAGAGCATCCTGAACCAAATCTGTCCCCAATAGCCTAGCCTCACCGGGCTCAAACCAACAAACTGGAGATCTACACCGCCTCCCGTACAAAGCCTCACATGGAGCCACCTGGATGCTCGACTGGTAGCTGTTGTTATAGGCAAACTCTGCAAGCAGTAGAAACTGATCCCATGACCCTCCGAAATCAATAACACAAACGCATAGCATATCCTCTAATATCTGAATGGTGCGCTCGGACTGCCCGTCCGTCTGAGGGTGGAAAGTTGTGCTCAACTGTACCTGGTACCCAACTCTCGCTGAACAGACTTCCAGAACTGGGAAGTAAACTGGGTGCCCCGATCTGAAATAATGGAAACTGGGACACCATGCAACCGAACAATCTCTCGGATATATATCTCTGCTAACCGCTCGGAAGAATAAGTAGTACAGATAGGAATGAAGTGCGCGGACTTGGTCAGCCTATCCATAATCACCCAAATAGCATCAAACTTCCTCGAAGTTCGTGGAAGCCCAACTACAAAATCCATAGTGATCCGCTCCCACTTCCACTCTGGAATATCCATCCGCTGAAGCAAGCCACCCGGTCTCCAATGCTCATATTTCACCTGCTGACAATTGAGACACCGAGCTGCAAATCCCACAATATCTTTCTTCATTCTCCGCCACCAGTAATGCTGTCTCAGATCCTGATACATCTTTGCGGCTCCTGGATGAATAGAATACCGCGAGCTATGGGCCTCCTCCAGAATCAGCTCCCGAAGCCCATCTACATCGGGCACACAAATCCGGCCCTGCATCCTCAATACTCCATCATCTCCAATAGACACATCTCTGTCATTATCATGCTGAACTCTGTCCCTAAGTACGAGCAAATGTGAATCATCATACTGGCATTCTCTAATGCGCTCATATAGGGAAGACCGAGAAACCACACAAGCCAATATCCGACTGGGCTCCGAAATATCCAACCTCACGAACCGATTGGCCAAAGCCTGAACATCAACCGCAAGAGGTCTCTCCCCAACTGGAAGGTATGCCAAACTCCCCATACACACTGCCTTTCGGCTCAAAACATCGGCCACCACATTGGCCTTTCCCAGATGGTACAATATAGTGATGTCATAATCCTTAAGTAACTCCAACCATCTCCGCTGCCTCAAATTAATCCTTTTGCTTGAACAAATGTTGAAGACTGCGATGATTAGTGAATACCTCACAAGATACGCCATACAAGTAATGCCTCCAAATCTTCAACGCGTGAACTATAGCAGCCAACTCCAAATCATGAACGGGGTAGTTCTTCTCATGGGGCTTCAACTGACGAGAAGCATAGGCAATAACTCTACCCTCCTGCATCAACACACAACCAATACCTACTCTCGAAGCATCACAATACACGGTATATGAACCTAAAGCTGATGGCAAAACCAACACTGAAGCTGTGGTCAAAGCTGTCTTGAGCTTCTGAAAGCTCTCCTCAGACTCGTCCGACTATACAAATGAAACACCCTTTTGAGTCAACTTGGTCAAGGGCGATGCGATAGATGAGAATCCCTGAACAAACCGGCGATAATAGCCTACCAAACCAAGAAAACTACGAATCTCTGTGGCTGAGGACGGTCTGGGCCAACTCCTCTATCTTCTTTCGATAAACCTGAATACCCTCACTGGACACCACGTGTCCCAAGAATGCCACTGAACTGAGCCAAAACTCACACTTGGAGAACTTTTCCTAAAGCTTCTCATCCCTCAATCTCTACAATATAACCCTCAAATGCTCCGCGTGCTCCTCCGGACTACGCGAATATATAAGGATATCATCAATGAAAACTATGACAAATGAGTCAAGATAAGACCGGAACACGCTGTTCATCAAATGCACGAATGCTGCTGGGGCATTGGTCATCCCAAAAGACATAACCAGGAACTCATAATGACCATATCTGGTCCTGAAGGCCGTCTTAAGAATATTCGAATCCCTGATCTTCAACTGGTGATAACCCGAACGAAGATCAATCTTGGAGAATACCCTCGCTCCCTGAAGCTGGTCGAATAAATCATCCATGCGAGGCAAGGGATACTTGTTCTTAACTGTTACCTTGTTCAATTGCCTATAATCAATGCACATTCTCATAGTGCCATCCTTTTTCTTCACAAACAGAACTGGCGCACCCCAAGGTGACACACTAGGCCGAATGAACCCCTTATCTAGGAGTTCCTGAAGTTGCTCCTTTAACTCCTTCAACTCCGATGGTGCCATACGATACGGCGGAATAGAGATGGGCTGAGTGCCCGGTACCAGGTCAATACCAAAATCAATATCCCTGTCCGGTGGCATGCCCGGCAGGTCTACAGGAAATACATTAGGGAAATCCCTCACACTGGGAGTCTCAGCTCCAACATCCCTCACAAAGGCAAGACACGAAAGACAACCCTTCCTAACCATACGCTGGGCTTTCAAGAAATAAATCACTCTGCTAGGAACATAATCAGTCACACCTCGCCACTCAATCCGTGGCACACCCGGAATAGCCAACGTGACTGTCTTGGCATGACAATCTAGAATAGCGCGATACGGAGATAGCCAATCCATGCCCAAAATGACATCGAAATCCACCATACTCAATAATAAAATATCAACTCGGGTCTCCAGACCCCCAATAGTCACCACACACGACCGGTACACACGGTATACAACAACAGTATCACCCACCGGGGTATATACATGAACAGGTAAAGCAAGAAACTCACGAGGAGTACCCAAATAGTGAGCAAAGTATGATGACACATAGAATAGGTAGAACCAGGATCAAATAGTACAGAGGCATCTCTGTGGCAGACTGAAATAATACCTATAATGACAGCATCAGAAGCAATGGAAACGGGCATGACAGCCCCCTGATCGACCTCCCCCTCTGGGGCGACCCCTGGCTGACTGATCCCCACCCCTAGCTGGCTAGACGGGTGGTGGTGGAGCAACTGGCGCTGAAGCTGATGACTGACCCCTCTGCTGGGATGAACAAGCAACACGACGGGGATACTGCCTCCATATGTGGCCCATCTCGCCACACTCATAACAACTCCTAGGTACTGGAGAAAGGGACTGATGGGAACCCCTCGCACCATAGTGACCAGCAGATGCACTCGGCGTAGAAGAGCCCTGAACAGATAGAGCACGGGATGAGCTCAGAGCTGGGAAGGCACTAAGTGAAGAATGGCCCTAGTGTAAACTGTGGGAACCATGACCCGATGATGCTCCTCGATAACCTGAGCGATCAGACTGACCCTGACGGAACTGTCGGCCACTGTCGTGCTGGAACTGGCCCCTCGAAGGACCACCACTGTAGCTACCAGATCCTCGAGGCCTCTTGGCCTCCCTCTCCTCTCGCTCCTAGCGATGGACAGACTCAATCTCTCTGGCAATATCCACAACCTCCTCGAATGTAGCACCAGTCACCCTCTCCCTGATCATACGATACGGAGCTGATAAGTAAGACCATCGACAAATCTCATAATCCTCTCTCGATCTGTCGGGACCAACCAGATGGCATGACGAGCCAACTTAGAGAACCTCAACTCATACTGTGACACGGTCATCTCCCCCTGACGCAACCACTCAAACTGACGTAGCTCCTCTCTACGAGACTGCGGTACATACTTCTCCAGAAAGAGAACGGAGAACTGCTGCCAGGATAGGGGTGCTGCACCAACAGGCCTACGCCTCTTAAAATCCTCCCACCAAGTAAAAACAGGTCCTGAAAACTGATAAGTAGTGAAAGCGACCCTGCCGGTCTCCAGAATACCGGGTGTGCGAAGCATCCTCTGAGATTTGTCTAAAAAGCCCTAGGCATCCTCGCCCTCTGCTCCACTGAAGGTCGGACGCTGAAGTCTCCCAAATCTCTCCAACCTATGCTGCTCATCCTCTAGCATGACAGAAACTGCATAGTCCTAAGAAGCTGCGATGGGTTGGGCTGGATATTCCCCCGGCGTCTGAAGTCCCTGCACGACCTGCTCAGGTGTGCGGGCGGCGAGAGTCTGACTGCCTCTCCCAGCCTGTGAAGTAGCTGCTGCTGTAGTGGCTGAAACTGCCTGAGCTAGGCCAGTGTAAACTGATAAGATCTGAGCCAAGGCCTCCTGAAGACTCGGAATCATAATAGGCACAGCTGGTGCCTGAGCTGGTGCTGTTGGAGGGTCCACAGCTGGGACCTGGTCCTGAACAGGGGCAGCTGGAGGATCTGCAGGTGCTACCCCCGCTGCTCTACCTCTACCACGACCACGACCGCGTCCTCGGCCTCTGGTGGCCGCAGCTGGTGGCACAGGTGGTCGTCCACCCTGTCCGCTAGCGCGTGTCCTCACCATCTGTGAGAGAATAGAACAACAGAAGTTTAGTACTCGGATCAACAAACTCGCACGATAAGAATTTCAAGAATGTGAAGCTTTTTCCTAAAGGTTCTGCAGCCTCTAGAGGATAAATCCAGACGTCTCCGTACCGATCCGTGAGACTCTACTAAAACTGCTCATGACTCGTGAGACCTATGTAACCTAGGCTCTAATACCAACTTGTCATGACCCTAAATCCCAACCCGGTCGTGATGGCGCCTCTCGTAAAGACAAGGCCAGCCAACTAAACCCAATTTGCCTTTTTAAGCAGTTAAACAACATAAAACAGTCTAAAACATGATTTAATAGTATTAAGTAGCGAATAATGTCAATGAAGTGCGGAAACATAACCCAACACAACCCTAACTGGGGTGTCACAAGTCACGAGCATCTAACAGTACCAAATCCTCAAAGGTAACTATAGAGTTTGAATTACTGAACTAAGACTGTAAAAGAAATAGATAGAGAGGAGCTCCAAGCTGCGAAACGCCAACAGTTACCTAAACACTCCTCGAAGATCCCCCTGAAGCTGGAATGAATCAGCACTCGGGAGCGGGACCAGCTACGCCTGAATTTGCACACAGGGTGCAGGGAGTAAAGTGAGTACTCCAACTCAGTGAGTAACAAATGTAAATAATGACTGAAAGTAAGAAAACACGTAAGGCACAAAGCAGTCTATCATGAAGTAGTAAAGATCATTTAAAAACAGTAAACCAGTGAAAAGACATGTAAAATTCTCTTTCAACAAGTAAACAGGTAATTGAAAGACAATTAAGGTACAATAAATAAATAGAAGCTCGCCCCTCGGGCACAGTATCACCACATCCGCCCCTCGGACAATATCTCAGAACAATAACAGCCCCTCAGGCTCAATCTCACATCACACTGGGTACCCGCTCTCACTGGGAGAGTGCAGACTCCTGGAGAGGCCCCTTACGGCCCAAGCGCAATAACAAGCCATCTCGTGGCATCAAATCTAGGCCCTCGGCCTCATTTCACTCAAGCCACCTTATGGCGTATATATCTCGGGCCCTAGGCCTCACATCAGTATCACTGTCTCCTCACAACATAGGCCCTCGGCCTTACTCAGTCAAAAATACTCACAAGCCCCTCGGGCAATAGTAAAACAGTGTTTCTCAGCCCAAAACATCATTTAAAATATCATTTAAGTCTCAAAATTGAGTAAAAATGGTTGAGTAGTAAAACAATGGAAATTAACCTGACTGAATTCAAATAGTAAGGCAAAACAGTGAGGAAATATCAAATAAAAGCCCCGAAGGGTTCAAGTAGTTGGCACGAAGCCCAAATATGGCATTCAGCCCAAATCATAGTGATAGCAAATAAGTTACAGTCAAATACACGGTAAAATCATCAACCGGAACGGACCAAGTCACAATCCCCAATAGTGTACGACCTCACGCTCGTCAACAAGTGTGTGTCTCACCTCAACATAGCACTACGATGTGCAGTCCGGGGTTTCAAACCCTCTGGAAATCATTTACAATCATTACTCACCTCGAACCGGCTAAATCTCTAGCTCGCGACGCCTTTGCCCCTCAAAAAGGCCTCCACGTGCGTCAAAGCTATCCAAATCAGAGCGAGGACGTCAAAATATGCCAAGGGAACAAAGCCCAAGTGAAAACAATCAATAAAGGGCACAAATCCCGAAATTAGCAATACCCGAGCCCCGGGCCAACTTCTCAAAACTCAGAAATTTTCACATCAACGGATTCCTTATCTCCCCACGAGTTCATACATATCAAGAATACCAAAATCAGAGTCCAAATGACCCCTCAAATTTTCATTTAAAGGCCTCTTAAACTCAAGCCCTAATCCTCTATTTTTAGCCCTTTAATCCTTTTAATTACAGCCTTAATCCATGAAATACTACCATAGAAATGTGTTTTTGGTCCAAAAATCCTTACCTTAACGAAGTCTCTTGATTTCTCTCTTCAGAATCGCCCAAAAAGCTGCAAGGTCGAAGTCAAAAATGGTGAAATAACCCAAACTCGCGAAATGAAATAACATATATGTCTGCCAAGGCCTTTCCGCATCTGCGGTCCAATGCCCCGCTTCTGCGGTACTATCGCGCCCCCTTTTCCTCCGCAAAAATTGGGTTTATGACATTTGGAGGCACAACTCATTCCTTTAGGGAACTGGGTTTGCATTTGAAGATTCGCCACCTAATGATTAGGGTGCATTAGGACACCAGAAGAGTTTGATTTGGATAACCAGAGATTGGATAAGGGCTTGAAATTATTCTAAGGGGAAGGTGTTAGGCACCCCTCAGAATCCACTAGTGTGGTTCCCGGCCAGACAATTATTATGAATTGAGGTACAATTAACATATAGGCATATAAGGCTCAAATAAGAGGGGATTTCAACATATAATGGTTTGAAAGAACAATTACAAAAGCTGATTTTTAATGCTGAAAAAAATAAAGAATAAAAGAAAAAGGAGGGGTCCTAGGTTTATTAAAAATATGGATCACCCCACACAATATCCGGTAATCACTCCTCAATGAGGGGCTACACGTGACATTATCGTGTGGTCATCATATCCATATCTACCCATCCCACCCCATTCAGGTATTTAAAGCGCGGATTGGTATCGATTACTTATTGCATGCTATTATCCGTCCCACTCCTATCAGTCCCGGAGGCACTTAGGATTACTAAACCTAAAAAGGGAAGGATATTAGGCTTATTTGGAGTTTCAAAGGTAAAAACTCTAAGGCGACATACAAAAACACATATTGCATATTTTGGGAAAACACATAGAAACAAACAAAGGCTCATATATACCTCCTTAAACAAAGAAAGCATATAATTAGCATGACTTGCACATACTGTTTAGGTCTGATTGAAATACCAAAGACGAGGGAGTTTTGAAACATATTGGTTTATTACATAACCCAGATAAGAAGTCCGAATCAGGCCTGCCTGCTGGTTGTAATAATTAACAGAAGTGGGTTCAATTTACAGTTATTACTCTAGGGCTTGCCTAAGTGTTTAGACGAGGATCCTATAGGCATGGTGTCTACTGAATTCAGAAGGTGATAAGACAGTAAAACTCGAAGTGAATTGTCCGAAGTCCTATATGCATATTTATAAAACTTGTTAAGTAAGGGATTTAGATTATTAAAAGAGATGCAGAATGTACAAAAACTAAATAAATTGGTTTCAGGCTTTGCAGGTGATAGTATAGATTATTACTGATTTTATATCTAACATTGAGTGAAGCGAATTAGATTCATTTAGAAACTCCTATAGGCATGTTTTCTACACGTTGCTGATTTTAGACGCTTATAGACGTGGTGTCGAAATGCAGAAAACCTTATAGACTTGGTATCTGAATGCAGAAACTTATTTAAAACCTTATAGGCAGGGTATCAGTTTGAATTATGCATAATGAAATAAGAACAATCCAATAGGCATGATTTCTAGGTGAAGTTTGAATATGCAGAATTATAACAATACTATAGGCATAATTTCTAGGTGAAGTTGAATATGCAGAATTATAACAGTCCTATAGGCATAATTTCTAGGTGAATTTTGAATATGCAGAAGTTGAAACACCCTATAGGCATGGTTTCTGCCCTTACATGCATAGTTACCCACCCTTTTTCACTAGGCAGCCCCCAAATGTTTATTACAACTTATTACAAACCATAATAATAAATTACATCAGAAAAGTACAAAGAAAATTACAACCAGAGGAAGCCTGATTCTTGACTTCCTCTCTGAGTTATGAGATAGACCAACTCAAAGACCATTGATCTAAAGCCTTTCTCCAATTTGAGTGTGTCAGAGTTCCCTAAGAGCCTCAATGGGACTCCGGGCAGTGCTCACACCCAAATTGTATCACCAGAATAGGGACAAGTGCAATGTGAAAGGGCCAGCCCTCAAGTGTCCAAGTTCAGAGGGAGCTCATAGGTCCCAAGGCAAGGCTCACAAGAGGGGGGCCAGAACGTAAGTCTAAGAGAGAGTGCAAGTGAAGAAACAGAGTTGAAGAACTAAGGAAGTAAAGTAGAGGGAAAGAGGTGTTGTGAAACAGCTATAAACAAGTTGGTTATTTCATACAAAGGGGTTCAGGGGTTGGGAAATCGCCAAAGAGCCTATGTACTTTAGGCAAGGGTCAGCTTTGGGCATGCGCAGCAATAGAAGATGCTGGCATGCCTAGAAGCCTACCAGAACACACAATACTAGAGAAACATAGAGGTTAGGATCTCAGGGGATCAAGCTTGAGTCATGGCCAGTAATATTCAATACTGTCATGCCTCAAACAAACCATAAGCATTGAACACATTGGGGTGGGGGGATTTAGGATTCACAATAGATTCAGAACAGGCAGAAGGAAATTACAACATGCTAAAGTAAATACTGGATTAAATACAAGCAGTAGGCAGACAAGAAGGCAAAAGTATTAAGTAAACATATGTTGTGATGCTGAAATCTTAATCAGAACATACCAGCTCAAAGAAGCAAAATACAGTAAAGGCAGGTAGCAGGACTTTGAAGATAGGCCACAGTACAAGTAGCAAGAGAGAATATTTTGAGTATGAGTGTGAGTTCAGAAATTAGGAGTGTTCGTGTCTGTGTTAATGAAAAAGCCAGGTATTTATAGTTTGAAAATAGGTAGAAAGTAAGGCAAGAATCACAGTTTAGTAGTAATTATGGAACTATGTATCAATTAAATCAAATCAGTATAACACTTCATTTAATTAAGGAGTTGAAATTAAACGGTAATGAGCAGAAAACATTTAAGGAAAAAAATCAAGTAGAACACTATGTATAGAATAGACAATTAGGGGTAAGTCCATAGGGGTCCAATTAAGGAAATAACTATTGCAGAATCAGTGTAGGTACTCGGTTAACCAAATAAGGTAGAAAACACAATAGATTTGCAAAATATGGAGACAATCAGCTCCCAGTAAATCAAGGAGTCAGGGATTCTAAACTATTGATTTGGGAGAGAGTAACATGGGTTCCCATGAATAAACAAATAAGCCAAACTAAGGACAGGAGAATCGAAAGTCTAAAGGGAAGTTTTCCAATCAATCCAAGAAACAGGGAAATCAGTAAAATAAAGAAAAAATCAATTACACGAGTGCAATCAAAATTACACAAGGAGGTTTGAAATCAGTCCACAATTGAAGGTCGTTTTAGAGGGAAATTTAGCATATAAACGAGTGCATAAACATTAGGCATGCGAGGCTGAACTCGTGCAAAGAAAGCATCATGCAATGGCAAACACAAAGTCATTAGCTAATGAACTATCGAAATATGGTAGTCACATAGGTCGATTTCACCAACTCAGTAATAGAGAAAAGAGAGTATCAGAAGCATGCAAAGGGATCAAGTGAAAAGACCTTATAGTAGAGTTTCAATGGTAGCAGGAAGTCAAAATCACATAAAGAAACAGAGGTTGAAACAAAAGATTTCGAAATTCAGTCGAGCAACAGATGAAGAAACTTCAGAAACTCGAATAGGTCCAAAGTAAATTAGGGTTTTGAAACCAATCGAATTCAGAGCATGACGAACAAGTAAATCACATAGCAAATAGTC